CTTGTGCGTCGGTTGACCTTGTAAGCTGCTAAATGATCTAGGAAGCCCTCTACCTATGATCGGGGTTGTTGGTTGCTATAGAGGTCTGGAGAGTTGCATTGGTTTGAGTTAGGTTTGCTTGGGGACAAGCAAACGGTTAAGTTTGGGGGAGTTTGATAGACCGATAATTACACATGTTTTTACCCCTATTCTTGAGCCGATTGAGATGTTGATTCTCGTGTTTTAAGCCGATTTCACGCTATGTTGTGCGTTTATGTCATATTTCAGGACCCGACGTTGGAATCGAGGCGAAGGAACGAGATTCGGGTCGAAAGGAGCAAGTGAGGCTTGAAGTGTGCTGGAGGACGAAAATACCCGGCCATGACCAGAAATACCCGGCCGAGTATTATTTTGAGGAGATCGGGTATTTGCTGTTTTGGGCGTCTTAGAAACAGAGAGGGTTCCGGTCGTGAAGCTTAAATCCCCTGTCGGGGATTATTGGACATGACCGGGGATTTTTCCCTGAAGCAAAACGCGGGTTTTAATAGTTTTAATAATACCCGGTCGAGACCCAAAATACCCGACCGGGTATTTCGACCGGGTATCGCGACAGGCAGCAGTTTTAAGGGAAAAGAAGGCTGAAAATCAAGGGTTTCTGAGTTTTACAGAGATAGAGCGATTCCTAGAGAGAGAAAGCGACGAACCAGAGTTCCCAAGTGCCATAGCTTGATCTTCATCACCATTGGAGCCCGGCTTGAGCTTGGAGAAGTGCCGATTGACAACCAGGAGAAGAAACTCATCGTTCACAGTATGATTTCCGCGTCTGAATCTGCTTTTGCTTCTCTCTCCATGGAATAGTTTCCCCATTCATCTGGGTATGGGGAACCCTAGATTTGTTTGTTAGGTCTGATTGTATGAACCCAAGTACAGAGTTATGAGTTGATTATATTCGATTGAGGCTTGAATGATTGAATGACTTGAATCCTGATCAAATTCCTGTTGTTTCTGCTTTAACCTAGAATGAGAATATCTGCCTAGGTTGATAGAGCATCCTTAGTTGAAGGTAGTGAATTGGCGACTTTAGTCGAGGATCCAATTCGCTATTCTTTACCGAATTCAATTCTGTAGTGGAGGTTTGGTTCGTTAGGGCCTCAATCTGTTTACTCCGATGGAGGTTAGTCGCCCGCTGGGGACTCAGATTGAGAGGGTCTGGAGACCTTTAGTCGAGACTTCAGACTGTTTAAGAACCTTCCGCAGTATAACTTTCATGAAAACTGAACTTGGTAAAATTGCAATCCGGCTTAACTGCAGTCTAGGGGGAACCATATCCGGGTGACCTCTCTCGACTTGAAAACAACCGTTTAACTTGCTTTGTTTGTTTGTTAATTTGGACTTGCACTAAAGTTTCACTGCTAGATAACAAGAATTCACCGAGTAGTCATCAAATCTAGGACCCGGGTTGACAATAAAACCCAAACCCGCTATACTACGCTTTAGGAAGTGGTTATACTTGGCCATTTTCTAGAGTGACAGTAGGAGTGAGTCAACCCACTATCGCAAGAAGAAGAATAATCTAGCAGAAAGTCATAATGGGTCAGGGCAGTGAATGCAATAGTGATTATCCTTCGGCGGCAATCTCCACCTACTTAGGGTCTGCATCTTTCTTTTCTAGGTTTCAGCCACACGAAGAACGTGGGAGAGAATAAAGTAAATGGGAGGAAAAAGCAGAGGAAATGGGGGAGAGAATAACACAGATGGGAGCAGAAAGTCGGAGGGTCGACTTAGATGTATTTGTTTAGGGTTAGAGCCACTTTGTTTATATAGCCAAACTCGTTAGCCTTTGCCCTTGATGCTATTAAACAATTACACACTATGCCACTCATTTTACCTTGTGAACGAGAAGAAGTGAAGAACACAACAAATGGAACAAACTTGGGAATTGTTATGATCAGCACTATGATTGATTGTTTAATATATTGTTTCTTATTTGTTTTGGGTAGAATTCAGTTTCTTGTTTGTAAAGTAATTTCATTAAATCATAAAACACAATGGATGATGAAGTTGCAATTATAAATGATGTTGTTTATTGAGTAATATATTAGCGACATGGCAACCTCCATTGTTGTGATTTTCTATGTCATGTTTGAAAATTGAAATATATCATTAGGTCAAGACGAGTATGGAAGAGCCAAGATTGGTCGGCTCCTACAATGTATCTCTTGACTTTATCTTTCACTTCATTGTCTCTCGTGTCATTGTATGGATTAATTTTGAGGTCTCTTGGAAATGTAATCTCACATTTCATTGCTTTTTTTCCTAGTTACGAGTTGTTTGGAGGTTGTGATTCCTTAGATTAATGAATTCTATCAATGTGTGCAGTCTAAATTGATGGTTTGCTTGACTAGTTGTATTTGAAAAATCACTTATTTGGAGGTGTAGATTGTGCTTTTCACTAGGGTTGGTAATCGGGTATCCGATTAATGGTTTAACCGGTTACCGAACTGATAATCGGAGGTTACCGGTTAACCGTTAACCGGCGGTATCGATATAAGGTGGCCAAAATCCAGCTGCCGGTATACCAGCCCATGCTTGGTTAAAACCGGACGGTTATCGGTAATACCGAGTAACCGATATACCCTCCCCAAATCCCAACCTTATCCTTCTATCACCCCGTTAGTAACCCCCAAACCCCAATTCTCTACATCTCTCCCAGGAAGAAGTTCCCTCTGAATCCCTAATCCATTAATTCTATCCTTCCCTGCTTTGTTGCCTCGGCCTCGCGAGCAGATCGACCACCACCCGTTCTCCGTCTTCTCTTCTCCCTCCGACCAGACCAACTACCACCCAGATCTTTCACTGTCAGTCCATCTCCGTCTTCTCCTCCTCCCTCCCTACTTGCAGCGACTGTTGCAGAAATGGTGGCGCAGATTCAAGACCCGGAGACCGCCAATCTGGCTGGGGAAGTTTGGGACGGCAGAGGAACTGTCGACCGGAGATATCAATTGAGCGAGGCAAAGACCAGCTATCTCCACTGGGAGAAGAGTCACCATCATCGGCGCCTCACCACCCCTGCCTCCGCCAGAGTTACCATTACCATATCCTCCTTCGCTCCCACCGCCAAAACTCGAAATCGAGAGAAGCCCAACTGTCGAATTCCATCTCCAAGACCAGAAGAGCCCAAATCCTTAAGCAGGGGCGAGCAATTAGAGTTCATGGAAGCGGAATAAGAACATGCAGTGATTCCACATCCCTCCCTTGTCTCTCTCTCGATCTCCACAAAACCACAACCCTCTCCATTCTCTAATCGACGCCCAACAATGACCCATCGTGACCCGCCGTGGAAAGACAATCGGTTGGATTGAAGGCCACCTGGATCTACAGAAACCCCAAAAAATCACTAATCTGGCGGCGGCAACGGCTGGTTGTCAGAGCGGAGGAGAGAAAACTTGTGTGATATCCGCATGCGGTGGTGGCGGTAGGGATGGGGAGAGGAGATCGAGAAAGAGGGGAGGGCTGGGAGAGGAGATCGAGAGAGAGAGAGAGGAGGGTTGGGGGAGAGGGAGAGAGAGAGAGAGGACGGCTCAGGAGAAAGAAATAGAGAGGTGGCGGAGATGGTAGTCGGTACTCGATATAACCGATTGGGTAAAATCCGCAAAATTTTTTATGGGTATGGGGAGGGTATGGTTTTAGCCTCCCCGCCCTATACCCATACCCGCCCCACCAAAAATATTTCTTCATATATGAAAAATATGTGAATCAATTTGTAACCTATCAATAACAACGAGTATAACTCAAGAAAAATATATAGTAGAAATGCAATTGAGTGGCCACCCAAATCAAAATATATTTTCTTTCTCTCAATTTTCCCTTCACTCTTTCACTTTTTCCCCTTGTTAAGAAGATTATGTTAGTTATTATTATTTAATAGATTTATCAGAGTAGAGAATAATGATTTGGATGACATTGTACTCTCCTCTGATATCGATTAATGGATGCTTTAAATCGTATTAAAGATGATTTTCTATTTGCCGACTTCATGATATAGTAGGTGCGTTTAATGTTATAATTCAAAATCTACATGTAAAATATTCGATATTATAGTGTTGGATGTACGGGACGGGTATTATCCATGGGTGCCCGAAATCCATGGGTATGGGATGGGTTTGCAAAACCTCCCCCGCATGGGTATGGAGCGGGTATGGGTATAGATATTTGAAAGTGGGGATGGGGATAGTTTAGGCAAACCCGCCCCATTGCCATCCCTAACTGGTATCGGTATTCAGTCTCTTCCTCATGGTAAACAGTATATACCGTAACCGGGTCGGTCGGTACATGGTAAACGGTATACCGTAACCGGGTCGGTCGGTCGGTAACCGGTTAACCGGTAACCGACCGATTACCACCCCTACTTTTCACAACCTCAAAACAACCCTTTAGTAAGGGACCAAATAATATTGTGCACAATACAATGATTTATAGTGTCTAAGTGTAAAGTAATGCATGCATTCTTTTAGGTAGGTGCCACCAACAATCACAAAAGAGGATGAATTATACAATCTCAAATAAAAGAAGTTGAGATTGTTGGGGTTAGATTTGTGTCCACTTTTTCGATCCCTTTGTATCCCTAATGTTTTTTTGTATTATACGAAGTATTGAGGGTAATGTGACATTTCCCCTTTAAATAACTTTATTCAAACCAATACATAAACTAGAATCTCAACAATCAAACAATGTATTATTACAATGGATCCATTGTACCAAACAACGTATTCGGATTGTTTGGTTTGTTAATTTGGGTCATTAGTTTGGTTTGGTTGAATGGTTTTACCCTGTTTGATTTTCTAATCAATAAGGGCCTCCATTAAATATAATATTAATAGTCAAAGTAGTAGTTATAATTAATTGGACTCTGCTAGAATTGTGCACAATCATTAGTGTTCGCAATTAGACAAGAAATTCCAGGACTGCGAAGAAGCCAGCAAGTTGGTCAACAAGATATACCTAAGGTTGGATTAGAAGTTCAGGCCATCCTAAGATTCAACCTTCAAAATTAGTATTCATACTTGTTTGCAATAACATGACAAGGAATATGGAAAGCTCATAGATTTCCAGAGCGAAGAATTCTGTATCTGCACCTAGCTGCCGCACAAAACTGAATCTTGTTTTCACTTTTCGAACCATAGTGTCTCACTAGAAATACAAGATCGCTGCCATATGGTCGAAGTAGCAAGTAGTGTGTAGGAATCGAATATGATACCTTCAATGAGAAAAACATTTTTTCAACACAGCCCTTGCAAGTGCATTCTGCAGTTTCTGTTCACTTCTCAAAACAGGGTTGACCTGCCTGGTCATTTCTGACTGAACACTTTATATAATATATGGACATAGAGCCTCTGCAAGGCAATTCCACTCTTTCACTCCCCTCCTAATGGCTACTTTCATAAGCCAAAAGACACATTTATTCTTCCAAATGAACTCCCTCCACTCTCATAAATTCTTCCATTTGCTCTTCCAAAAGCTCAGCATCCATCAGTGTGTTAGGCAATGTTCTTCCCATTTCAAGTTCACAATCATCATCAGCCTCTTCGCCGTCACTCTTGATTTCAGGATTATTAACCGAGGAACAAGTGCCGAGGAGAAGCTGCTCCCACGAAGTACCTTCATGAATTTCCGGCATAACGAATGGGCTGTGATTATTCTCTGTAGCAAAGGTCTCTTCGGAAAGCAACTTCATGAAATCAGGACTTATTGAAAAATCATTCATCCAATCACTACATGACAACTCTGATTCATCTTGTCGTCCCTCAACGTATGAGGGTCCATGATGCACACGTGTGTCCACATTATCTGTCGTCGGCTGGTATCTCACTATCCTTCCATCAGAAACTAATGACTCGTTCTCATCTGCACCTTGCTCTATTATGCTACCAGGTTCAGCCATCCTCCAGCCATTCTCTTTAGGGTTAAGTAGCTGAACCACAAAACCGGGATGTTGCATGACCAGTACTAAGAAGGAAAGCATCTGCTCCTGATTTGTTTCCATCCCTTTTAGCCGGTCCCTCAACAGGAGCAGCTTCTTATCTGCAGTTTCCTGATGTTGTCTGAGTTTAACCAGCTCCTGTGTCACAGCATTTCTGTCAATCTTAAGATTTTCAATTTCCTTGCAGAGGTCTACCTTCTCAACTTCCACAGCATGTTGCTCAGCAACAGACTTCTCTGGTCCCTGCACAGCTTCCCTACGATTGCTTGACCCTTGAGGATTTTTTCTTCTGGAAATATTTTTTAGCAAATGCTTTTCACCTTTGACAAACCCATCATTGGCAAATTCCCATCGGTCCGGATCAATTTTCCTAAATCCCTGAAAGAAAATTACATAAACGCAACACATTAAGAAGTTTGTCACACAGTATACACGATCACCTTCCAGTGATGAATTTAGCATTAAAGGCGACACCAATTTGGGCAAGGGAACTTAACAGAATAGCTACTAAAATGGCTGAAGCAGGACTGCTTCACTCCTAGCTCCAAACTCGAGGAGTACTCATTACATCATTTTCGATTGTAAGCAATAAAGACCACCATGCCCAAACTGTCTCCTCTCCATAGGGCACCAGACAATTCTCCAGGAGCCTTCAACATCAGAGGACCACACTTCGACCACTGACTCTCCCGCACCACTAATCTATGCATTTGTTCTCTAAAAACATATGAAGCTTCGACATCTCAGGGCTTCCAAAATACAATCTTGGAGGCAGTTTCAAGCACTGCAGGCAAGTATATACAGTTCTAGAAAACGAGCATAACTTTCCCAAGCCCTAAACCCTCTCCCCTTATACTGACACAGAGCCGGCTGCCTGGTTCAACTGCTAATGAAATCCCGAATTAGGTCAAGAAAATACACCCACAAGTTCAATCACCGATATTCTATGGACTTGATCACTCAAAAGTTCGAGGCGTCACGATGCCCAATCGGAGATCGACACTAGACAGAACAAGGGAACGCAAAAGAGGAAGGAAATAGTGAAACAGGGGGGGAAAGCAGAGGCAGAAAAATACCCACATAGATATTGAGCTGCCTGACGAAGCTAGAGGAATTGCTGTGTTTGAAGTATTCCGGGAGCAATTTGACGGAGAATTCAGTCATATCCCAAATAATGAAGCTGTCGTTGCTCGGAGACCAAGAGACAATAGAGTTTGTAGACTCCTCGTCCACCATATCGTAGCATTTTTTCAAAAAAGGAGCGATCGCGGGAGAGCCGCCGCTGCCATCGCCGGATTTCACCATTGTCCGATACGAGGAGAAGAGAGGGAACCCAGAAAGCAGAGAATTGAAAAGCGCAACGCAGAGACTGTTGCTCTTCTTGCTTCTTCGTGCGAGTCAAGCCAAGCATAGCCCCGTATATATATGCGGTGCCGCGAAGAGAACTATCAAGCTCCCAGAAATTTCGCTTACGCTCCTCGGGTTTGGATGGGGAATTTTTTTTTATATTAATATGAGAGGATTTGGACTCAAATTTCCAACTTTAAAAATCATAGATTTTACTAGACGAAGTGTCACACTTTGTTGCGATTATTTGACTCGTTCATTTTTGTATTTGGTTTTGTACGGTCGTTGATTTGGTTTTATGGAGTTAAGATGTGAGAATTGTGTTTTCAGTGGTAAATTAGTTTGAAAAATAGAAAAATAAGTCGCTTATCAAGAATGAAATATAATAAATAGGAAACATCTCATAAAGTATGGTTGGTGGAGTTGTGGAACCAGTTGGACTTTGACTCACGGTTTCATATGAAGGCTCGCGTGCGAGACACCGCAAAACCTTCTGCTCTCATTGTTGATCGGTTGTCAAAGTTCACAACTCAAGATCACGGTCCAATTTTCCTGGTCGTGATCTTGTCCATTTTGGCTGGGAATACTCCTCCTCCCTTCTTCTACACTTGACACCATATTTCTCCCTTTATCGAGTAAAATCCGAGCACCTTATCTTGAACAATATCAAATACGAAAGGAAACTAACTAATTGATGCTAGAACACAAGGTCTAGTTCTCACTCACGCACACATCCTCTTACCAAAAATAAGTCATTTATGGATATTATCGGGGTTCTCGTGGATTCCTTTTTCACTACATAAGGATCAAAGACCAAATAAACATGAAAACGCCTAAATTAGAAAGATAGTTAACATTTATTTTAGGTGTTATCAATTCAACCGTTATGAATGCAAAGTGTTCCGGAACTTATTGAGCAGTCAACTACATTACGTCACCTTCGATTGACTGATTTACCCACATATTCTGTTGGGGCTTTTTAGGGACGAGGGTATACGTACGATAGCCCGAGACCGGGGTGACCAGGATTGTGATAGAGTCGTGAACAACGTTCACTTTCCGAAAAGAATATTTCCACCCTCAACAATCCTAGGGTTACAGGAAATTTCTCCCGAGAATAAAACTATCACCACTTTAGGTTCCAGGCTCAAGAACACTGAAGCATACTTAGAAATTTTAGCAGGAAGAAGAGGAATCTTTGATGTTATGGTCTTTGCCATCCTCCATATGCCTCATATTTATACTTATGGAATTGGTCTCATTTCTTCATGACCGAAGCAAAGCATTGCTTCATGAAGCCACGCACCAATCCATTTATTTCATGGCAAATTAACTGCCAACATTTACAATTAGTTTGAAACGTTGCAATGACATAAACTGCCACCCAGAACCACATTCCATTTCAAATGAATGGGTTTGTCCATTTAAATGCATGGCAAAGGACATGTCCTTTCAGCCAAAATGGACGTTCTTTAACTGTCATTCAAACTTTGCCAAGGCACACGTGGAGAATTAAATGATAAGTTGGCTAATTCAAAATCAATTGAACGCTGGCTAAGTTAAGATTAACCTAACCGGTCCAATAATTTAACCAACCCATCTTAATTTTCCAACATTCCTCCCCCATTTTAGTGTATTAAAATAATTCACTAAAATTACAACATTCTTCCAACAAAACTTAAGCATAAATGAAAATGTCGTGACGATTGAATTTTCACCTTAGTATATTACACTTGACAAATATTCGAATACAAAGGGTGTCGGTAACGATTGAACCCATTGACTCATATGAATATTCGAAGATAATATACACTTAAGTTTTCAAAACTTCTAAGCGCCTTGACACTATTACCCGCCATGTGTCCAATCCTTCTCATAAGCGCACACGAAACCAAAGTCCGGGTTTCTTGAAGCGGCTACACTTCATGCTTATGTAGGTTGAATCTCTTATTCATGTACCCGCATAATACACTTTTTCAAAGATTCAATTAAGAAGTTTGAACTTCACCCTCTTCTCTCATGCAGGATAACAAGCACATACCTCGGGATGACAAATTGTGTGCTTCAATTTCTGATAATAAGCTTTCCACATTGAATTCAGCCTCTAACGTTGTATTAGAGGGGAATTGGGTGTCCCATTACCAAAAATTATATGGACTTTAACCCATCCCTTTCACAGACTTGATCACCAAGTCAGTAGTTAACCACTTCGTCAAATGATCAACCAATTTATTTCGAGTCTGGTCATACTGTCTAGACACAACTCTATGAATGATCAGTTCACAGATTTTACCGTGCCTCACTCCCACATGACCGTACTTGTCATTTTCACTTGACTATATGCCTTAGTCAAATTAGCATTACTATCACAAAAGATAGTAATATGTGAGATTGGTTTAGGCCATACATATATGTCATAAACCAAACCTCTAAAAAATAATGCATTTTCTCTAAGAGAAATCAAGGTCACACAAACTTTGATTCTATAGTGAAACTTAGTGATGCAAGTTTTGCTTTCTAGAGGCCCAAAATATGGCACCTCTCCCAAGCAAGAGGACCCATCTCAATGTTGAAGTATCACCTTTAACATGAGAAATCCAACTAACATCAACAAATCCTTCCAAAATTGATGGAAAGCCACTATAAGTTAATATAGTGTGTCTTTGACATATCCTAGTACACGCCTCATTTCATTTCAAATGATGAGAACTAGGATTCATCACGTACCAACTTAATTGTTTTATCGCATATGCAATATCTAGCATCATGTAAGTCATGCATACATCGAACCCCCAATTTAACATGGAATATTCTAGTTGTAAAACTGATTTTCAGTCTTAACCATAAGTTCCATACTTGGAACCATTGAGGTCTTTAACTCACGCCAATTCCTACTATGGAATTTTTGCAAGTACCTTCTCATGCAGAAAAATTGAGAGAAGGAATCTTCTTTGTCGTACTGCTTCATTCAATAGACAGAATCACATTTACCTCCCCCATGTCCTACATGGGGAATTGAAATAATTTTTTTTTATTAAAGTTCACTTATCTTTTATTGGTTCCAGAGATAAGCATGTCTAATACATACAAATGTACGATGACTTCATTATCAGAATCATCATAAATTGTGTACACATTTTGTCTCCTTGGTTTTAAATAACATAAACCACTAGACAAAATCACTTATCTTTGATTGGCCTCAAAGAAAAATATGTCATCTACATACAAACACAACGACTCTATTACCAGAATCATCAAACATTGTATATACAATTTTGTCTCCTTGGTTTAAAATAAACCACTTAGACAAAACCACACCATCAAACCACTAGACAAATCCATATTTAGCACTTCGTAAATGTCGAATTAGACAAATTTACCATTGAGTATGTGACCTACCCAAAGGCAATTTTCATTTTTCTATTTCTCCATTTTACGAATCATTCTCCTTCTTCCTCATCTTCAAATCATCCCTCTTCCAAGTTACCTTCCGGATATGGAATACACCATGACACTAGTACGAAGAACACCCATCTTCTACTACCATCGATGAATACCCATCATCGAAAATTCTCATAATTCCATAGACTGAAACCGGTTTCTTGTAAAGAGCGGTTCGAACCATCGTACCGGAAAATATTCTTTTCGATTGTTGGGGCTTTTTCGGGACGAGGGTATACGTATGATAGCCCGAGACCGGGTGACCAGGATTGTGATAGAGTCGTGAACAACGTTCACTTTCCGAAAAGAATATTTCCACCCTCAACAAGCCTAGGGTTGCAGGAAATTTCTCCCGAGAATAAAACTATCACCACTTTAGGTTCTAGGCTCAAGAACACTAAAGCATACTTAGAAATTTTAGCAGGAAGAAGAGGAATCTTTGATGTTATGGTCTTTGCCATCCTCCATATGCCTCATATTTATACTTATGGAATTGGTCTCATTTCTTCATGACCGAAGCAAAGCATTGCTTCATGAAGCCACGCACCAATCCATTTATTTCATGGCAAATTAACTGCCAACATTTACAATTAGTTTGAAACGTTGCAATGACATAAACTGCCACCCAGAACCACATTCCATTTCAAATGAATGGGTTTGTCCATTTAAATGCATGGCAAAGGACATGTTCTTTCAGCCAAAATGGACGTTCTTTAACTGTCATTCAAACTCCAAGGCACACGTGGAGAATTAAATGATAAGTTGGCTAATTCAAAATCAGTTGAACGCTGGCTAAGTTAAGATTAACCTAACCGGTCCAATAATTTAACCAACCCATCTTAATTTTCCAACATATTCCACATTAACATGCAGTTTTCCGCATAGATTTTGTGCTACTCTTTTAAACCTTTTTATTCCACACAACATTCACTACGAATGTGTGTTACCGCATATTTGCTCCCAAATCCTGAAATAGAAACCCATGTGCAGTTTTCCATTCATTCTATTTCATTCATCACTCCATATGGTTAAAATGCTAACCAGTCTTTTTGGTACCCGACTATAACCAAAGTCCCAATAAATTGAACGAAATAAATATCCATTTTACATGCACAAATTATAAACCATTTTTTTTTATTTCTGAGTGATATCAAAGAACGGTAATAGTTAAACTTACAATTCTACCCAGGACCCCTAAAAGACTCTAAAGAAGCCTCCAAAAAAAAAAAAAAGATTCTAGCTCTAAACGAGACAAAAGCAGTGCTTTAAGCGCCACTCTATGGGCAGCACTGTTGGCGGACTTAGGTACCTCCCTAAACTCTATACAAACAGACAAAGAGCTAAGGATCTGATGACACACTCGTAACACTGGACCACCAATCGAGTCTTCTATGACGCCTGAACGGACTTGGTTGACGACCACTTCGGAATCACCTTCGACTATCATGCGGGTCAAGGATCTTGAAGCTACGATGGAGATAGTGTGTCTAAAGGATAGAAGCTCTGCCAGGTAAGGATTGACTATTCCTTGATGTTGCAGCCCGAACGCCAACACCACATGCCCGTCTGACCCACGGATAACAAGCCCAGACGAACACCTGGTGGCACAAACAGCAGCGTCGAAGTTGATCTTCTAAAAGTTCTCTGGCGGCGGGACCCAAGAGGTGGCAGGATGGTTTGGGAGTAGAGAGCTGCGGGTTGGAGGAGGAAGGAGAAG